CGGAAGTAGGATTGCCCAACCTTCCTTCCGAGGAGTGGCTGGTGGGTTTGAACCGCCTGCCTTCTGGTTAGCAGTCAAGTGCCTTAGCCACTATGCTATGCATAACTGTACATAACTATAAACAGAGCAGCAGCAGGTGGGGCTGAAGGACCGGATTTGCCTTCATCCTCAGTCTGGTTTCTCACTTCACATTTGCTAGCTGTGGTGAGCTTCTCCATTTCTACTGTCTCTCTCAGCCTATGAAGATCTTCCCAGTTGGCCTTCTTACTACCATCATTCTCCTACCCAAATGCAATGTCTGTGCTTCTATTAGAATAATCTGTCCAGTATGCAAATTGGTCCGTGTCACTTCCTTGCTTCATTCAGTGCTTTCCCAACCCCCAGTGCTCCACAGATTTTCCACTAAAGGGCTACTGATTGTAGAGGAGCCTTTCTCAACTGGAGTTCCATGAGAGGATTAAACCTAATTCCCTTAGGCATCCATTGTATGTAGTGGATTAACTTTTCTCCTCTGCATCTCGAATGGTGCTAATTATGTACAATCTTGAAGAGAATTGAGAAAACAGTCACTATTATAATTTATTCTGTGATTCAGATGAGCCATCACTTATGAAAGAATGGAGGAGAGAGAGGGAATATGCTATTCAGGAGGTCCAGGAGCATAGCTGGGAACATCCTCTAGAAACCAACAAGTTTCACTAAAGTTTAGGGTTTTATTTTTAAATTTTTTATATCAGTATTGCATTCTACAGCTCTGGTAGCGTAGTGCCTAAGGCACTTGATTGCTAACCAGAAAGCTGGCAGTGCAAACCCACCAGCCATTCCTCGGAAGGAATGTTGGGCAGTCTACTTCTGTAGTGATACCACCTTGGAAACCCAAGGAGGGGTTATAACTTACCTACCTTTCTTTCTTTCTTTCTTTCTTTATTCATTCATTCTTGAGCATTGTGGTAGGCGTTTTATACATGTTATATATTATTTAATGTCTCTAGGAACATTGCCCAAGATTGCACAGCTAGTAAGGTGTCAGAGTTACGGTTCTAACCCAAGTATTTCTCAACTCCAAAGCCCATGTGTTTTCTGCAACTTAAAGCTGAATTCTACAACTTCTCTGAATTGAGAATTCAGAGCCTGGAAGTCTTTGCCCAGTTCTAAGTTTATCTTCGCCTTTTTAGAATACCGTAGAATATTGATTGTTTTTTTCTTGGTCACGTTACTGTTAATGGTTCAGATCATGCATAATTCAGACTAGTTATGCAGAATACACCCAACCCTTGATTATCTAAAAAATGAGCAGTGATGTAGTTATTTCCATGTAACAGGAAATCATGTCTGTTTTTGGTGGCTTTAAGACAAATTAGATGACTATTTTCTTTTATAGATACTTACTTTTGTAATTGTTGTAGAAATTGATAGATGTTGACATCCTATCATTTTTTGAGTACTTTCCAGCTGGTGATGGAAACTTGCTTTTCTGACAAGAGGAAGCCATTTTGGTCATGAAAACTTGCTTCTAGATAAACCCTATCCAGATGACATAGAGTTAACTCCATTTGTGTCTGCTAAGGCACATGGAGATGCATGAATGCTCAAGTACCAAGATGTTAGAAATTGCCCACCCCCATATCTGACATTTGCCTAACCATCTTGAATCCAATTTCCATTAGATATCCAGAGAAAAAGTCTGAAATGCTCTGCAGTGGCCAGGTTCAACCCAGAATTTCAAGGTGGCCTGGTTCCTTTCATTCCTCTGAGAAGCTATACAACTCTACTCAAATGATTGCTATGAGCACACTGTAGCTATTGCCAGTCAGAACTGACTCTCCCTCTGAATTTCTCTTTTTTCCAGAAAACCTGGTAATTGGAAATCTAGGGGTATCTAGAGATGATATAAACAGCCTGTGAGGTTCTTTTATTTTTTAGCCTCTCTTCCTGTTCTAAACTCTCTTTTACCATGTATTATACTAAGGATTGCATTTTAGTGCCTGATAGTAAAAGAGCAGAAGAGTTAAACTGTAAGGGAAAGTCCAGACTTTGGATTAGAAAACCTGTTGAGTCAAAGGGGAACTTAACTTAGCAGAGGAGCAGAATGGAAATTATTTCCTTAGACAGTAGAGAAATATTCAGGAAACACCTCTGCACCCCAAAGATAGGCACAGCTGCCACAGAGTAACTATTAAAGGGAGGTTCAAAGTTATGAGCAAACAGCTGATTCTCTTGGTTCTTAGGCTGTTGCTGTTGGTGACAGGAAATCTTGTTCCCCAAGTTGCTGGCTTCCTGTTTTATTTTTACTTTTAGCTGATCAGAATGTCCATAACAAGGAGCAGTCTGTTCTGAAGGATTCTGCTCCCCTTTTGAGCCTGAAGGGCTTTTTTTCCCCCCTTTTGGTTAGACAATATGTCAGTTAGCTCTTAAGATCTGTGCTATTTAGCTTGGTTTAAACATTTTGTATTCGTAATCAGCTTTTTTGGTGATGAGCTGGTCTTTTAAGATTTGATGCAAGTAAACCTGTTTTGCCTTTTTTTGGAGGAGCTTGCAGTCCTGGGAACTTGGGTATGTTAACCTTTATGCTATACCTTTTCATCTGAAGCAAATTTGCCATTTTCTCCAACATAGAAAAACATTAGGCCATTTGGATTTCTTTAGTTTCACAAGATACAAAAACAGGACCAGCACAGTGTGCCTTGGCTGTGGTTATATTAATTTCATTGAAACTAAAACCTTCTCCTCTTCTTGTAAAGCTAGGAATTTGGTAACCTAAATCTAAAACAATAGCTCAATGTGAACCTGAAGTGCTGGGGGATTTCCTAGGGAAAGGGGCTCAGCCACAGGATAAGAAACAGTAACTGGACGGTTTCCGGATCTGCTCCAGACACTTCCTGCTGTCTTAAGTGCCTTTTGGCCCAGGTGTATTGAACCGGATAGGAGGGAGAAAGGGAGCTGCTGAGTAGAAGAGAAAGGACCAGAGAATCTTATAGTACATTTTACTCAGCATCATGTTTGGCATACTGAACATGGAAAATTTTTCTTGATATTCTTTCATTCTGTTACTTTACAGGCTAAACTTTAGTAGTGTTAATAGGTACTGGCAGCCAGTATTTAGTTATACATTAATAGTCATAGATGAAGGAAGAACTGAAGAGGTTACGTCCTGATGTATATTGGTGGAATCACTATTGGCAGCTTGATTTCATTTGGAGATTATCAGATGACAGAAGTTTCCTCCTGATCTTTGTAGTTGGTGGCCTAGACTCTGATCTGTCCTGGTTATGGACACTCCCAGGATAGGGTCTGTACCATCCACTGCCTGCTCATGGGCTCTTCTCTGACCATGTCTTCTTGCCTCTGGAAATTCTTGTTGGTTAGATCAGTAGTTGTCATTTGTAGGTTTTTGGGTTTTTATGCTACCTGTGCACCTCAACCAGCAGTCACAAGCTCTGAATTTCTAAACTTATCCTGCAAGCCTTGTAATAGCAAAGATTTAAGGCTTAAAAGAAAAGATGGGTTGGAGAAAAGATTTTTAAAAGCTGTTTCAGATCAGAGCAAGACAAAAAAAAAAAAAAAAAAAGGCTCACACACAGCCCTAGTGTGCCTGGAATTTGTGGTTGAGTAATACTTTCCTGTTATTTCTTTTTTAGGTTGTTTTTCATCATTCAGAACATTGCCTGAAGCAGGTCCACCATGCCGTTAGTAACGAGGAACATCGAGCCAAGGCACCTGTGCCGTCAGACGTTGCCTAGCGTTAGAAGCGAGCTGGAATGCATGACCAACATCACCCTGGCAAATGTCATCCGACAGCTGGGCAGCCTGAGTGAGTGCCGCAGAGAGCCTGTGCTTTGCCCTCAGGGGTCGTTGGTGCTCTTTATTTAGTTGCCTTCTCCTCCTGTGTTCCTATTTCTCCCCCATCTGCCTTCCCTAGGTAATTTGAAAATGTATCCCACCCCCCACCCCAAAGAGAGGCTCCTTTTTGGTACAGATTCTTCCCGTCAATCCTTTCTTTAGCTATCACAACCCTCTAGGTTCCCTCCACCTCCCCCTCCACCTGCTTCAAAAGATATCTGTGGGAAGGGTGGCAGGAAGGGCTGCAACAGAAACTGCAGATGGAATGACAGAGCAGAATTCTCTGTGTAAAGTGGGAGGTTCACAGAGCAGTATCTTGGGTCGGGGAATGTGCCTCTAATTGCACGAGTTGTTTGATGTGGCCTGACTTTGTTGAAGCCTCAAATGTGCCAATAGTCTTTATCTACCCAACACCTCCCCCCACCCCCTTTTATTCCCAAAGAGGAGTAAAGCAAACATGCACTGGGAGAGATTCTGGCTGACTTGTCCACCCTGGTACAAATTTAATTGTGCTGCAAGCCCCCAGGTCCAAGTTCAGGGTACAAATTACTTCTGCAATCCCTGGGGTATTGGGAGTTTTGCAAGCTGCATGAACACACAGTGACACAAATTGTAACTGGAGTCATTCTTCTCTAAGAGGAAGGTGGGGGTTAGCCCAGTCTGTTTTAGAGCTGAGGGAAAGCCAGCTCAACTGTAATTCTGTTGCTTTTTTTTAATTGGCAAGAATGAATGAGACTGCCTTGGGTGGGGTACATGCATGTGGTTTGGATTTCATTCTGAATCAAGCTGACTTTGTTTGCTTGAAGCCAAGGTATGGGAAGGGCAGATGCTTGGGTAGGCTCTGCATTTGTCTCATGCCACTCCAGCTCCCAGAAGAACCTCCTTCAAAATGCCATTTTAGTGATCTTTTTTAGCAAAAGCATCTTAGTGTGAATCATTTCAGACACTCACCCCTCCTATCGCCTCACTGCCCTTAGTGAAGTCAGTGGAATATCAAGAAAGCCTGTATTCCCCCAGATAGTAATAGGCCCTGCTTTTAAAATAGGAGCCTGAGGAGACAGAGCTCTGTGACCAGATGATGTATGGGGTCTGAGATTCCTAAGCTTTCACCCAGCTCAGCGGCCAGCTCAGTTGATCCAGGGCTTAGAGAAGCCCGGATGGGGCGTCACAAAGAAATGAAACCCTGCCAGTGCCTGTCTCACACAAAGGAACATTGACAGCAGTGCAACAGCAGTGCGGCTGACAAGGAAGCACATGAAGGCTGCAGAGAGCCTCACTGCTGCTTAAAAGCATCATTTCTGCTTCTGTCACCCTGAGAAGGCCAAATGGGTAGAAGTCAATCACACAGTGGTTCCTTCTCCAAAGGACAAAAGACATCTAGCTAATGATGCTTCTTATTCTCACTCAGCAGGAGTTATGCTCTCTCTCAGGTGTTTTTCCAAGGTAGTGTTGATGGATGCCATTGCTCACACTCTCCCACTTGTGATCAGACCACTCCTACCTTGAGGAAGTCGAGCTGGGGACCAGAGTTGGCTTGTGCCTAAGGAAACAAGATTTCCTTATATTATGGGGCTAACTGACCCTTTATTTATCTATGAACTGTGTATCGAACGTATTTTATGTGCCAGAGGCTGGGGTGATATAGAGATAATAAGAATGGTTCCTGTCTTTCAGGAGCTCATAATCTACCAGGAAAATAAATAATTCTTAAGAGGAGATGGGGGAAGGGTAGAAAGGGAACTTACATTTGTTGATTGCCTACTTTATGCCAAGATCTCAACACTGATTATCTCAATCCGCTCATTAACCCTATGAGGGTAGATAGTAGTATTCCCATTTTACAGATGAAGAAATGGAGGCTCAGAAAAGTCAGGTACTTGCCTAGAGAAATACAGCCAGGAAGAGGCAAAGTCAATATTTAACTCAAACTTCCTAAGAATTTCTCAGCTCTGCCCCATACCTATCTCTGCCAGTGCTTCCCTGGTTCAGATCTTTGTTGGCTCTTAAACTATTGCCCTAGCCCTGGCATTCCATTTTCTGATCCAGCCCCCTTAGATCTGTCCCTTAGCCCCTGCCACAGTGATCTGCCTAAAATTCAAAACACACTTTTTACTTTTGTAATTCTGAATTTTTTGAATTTTTAAAGTTAAGTCTGTGTTAGCTTTTGTAACTCCCAAAGTGTTTTTTTTTTAAATAAGAGTAAAAATCTTAACTCTTTATCTTCTCTGTTCTCACTATGGAATAATCTAAGTTTCTTGGCCTGACATTTAAGACTCTCTAAGACTTACCTTCCTTTTCAGTCTCATATTCTGTAATCCCTCTTTTGCTATGTTGAAATATTTTTTAGAGATTCTTTTAAATGGAAAGAGGAAGAAGGAGAATGATTGACTACTGGTAGTTCTCCTGAGACAGGTCATACTCTTCTACTTCCATGCAGTACTCATACTGTTCCCTGCTTAGAGAAGAACCCTGCCATCCTTGTTTGCCTGGTCACCTGTAGCTGATTCTTCAAGGCCCAGTTTAGGGATCACCTCCTCCAGATATAGCTAAGTGCTTCTCTGAGCTCCCATTACATCCCTATATTATTACTTACCACATTATATTAAGGATTATCTATGTCTTTTATTCAGGAGCTCTAGTAGCGTAGTGCCCAAGGCACTTGACTGCTAACCAGAAGGCTCATAGTTCAAACCCACCAACCACTCCTCAGAAGGAAGGCTGGGCAATCTACTTCCGTAGTATACCACCTCGGAAACCCAAGGAAGGGTTGCCATGAGTCAGGTCCAACTCGACGGCACACAACAACAACACGTCTGTTACCCTAAATTAAAAATTCTTTGATGATAGAAATCGTGTGTTGATGATCCTTGAACCTCAGTGTCTAATGTTGTATAGTACGTGGTAGAACCAGTAAAAGTTCAGTAAATGTTGAACAGTTCATGTCTGTGTTCCCTCTACCATTCCATGCTTTTGGTGCAGAGAGTACAGAGGAAGAAGGAATATTTTCTGTGGGGAGTTGGGGGCATAAGTAGGGATAGGAAGGTTCAAAGAAAGCTTCACAGAAGAAGTTACATTTGAACTATGCCTTGAAAGATGACTGGGATTTCATGTAGCAGAGAGGGGCACAGGGGTAGAGTCACATGTGCTTCAAGTTCATAATAAGTACAAACTCCTGTGCATTGTACTCTAGCCAAAACTGCCTGGTGTTATAGTAAGGAGGTCTGGTTATAGAGTGGATAAAGCAGAAAACTAGAAATTCCACAGCCATGGGTTGCTCTATGGCAGCACATCCCTAGTTCTTATTTTCCCTTAGTGTAGTGAGATTGACATTTCATATATTAAGTCACCATATTTTAGGAAAAAGAAGTGTAGCCAGTGAGCCAGCACTTCTGATCAGTATACTGATCACCTAGGATAGTGGAAGCCCTCTGTGAGCCATTAAGAGCCAGGATGTGATATTGGACTTTCTGAGTACAGTAGAAGGGTGGGCATGCCATGGGTGGGGGCTCCACTCAGCCTTCAACAAGAGCAACCTTACATTTTTAAAAAATTAGTTCTACCTATTCCACTTCCATGTAAGATTCCACTAGAAGAATTCTACTGAAGGAAAAAGATCAAGACGGCTTCTAGAATCTTTCGCAAAATGTGATACCTGTTGTGAGTGTTGGCTGGTGGATATTGGGTCTATCTTGGCAATCTGAATGAATGGAATTTAACTATATACAAGGCTTTCTCCTATTTAAGTATTACACTTCTATTTTCAGAGGTTGGAATAATTTTTAGCACTTGAAGAATTGTTGTTGTTATGTGCCATCAAGTCGGACCTGACTCATAGCAACTCCCCTTGGGTTTCCAAAGCTGTATCACTACAGAAGTAGATTGCCCCATCTTCCTTCCGAGGAGTGGCTGGTGGGTTTGAACCGCCTGCCTTCTGATTAGCAGTCAAGTGCCTGAGGCACTATGCTACCAGAGCTCCTCTTGAAGAATTGGGACTATCAAATTACTGGAATTATATTTAAAATTTCCTCTAGGTATAATACTTGAGATACTTTGATATTCTATACTCTCTCCTAAGTAATCTGATGTAAAAAAAGAATCACCATTTAACAGCTTATATTTTTAGCTTATTTAATCCTTAAATAGCATCATTAGCTAGATGTCTTTTGTCTTGGTGAGATAGACATAGTTATCCCCATTTTAGAGATATGGAAACTGAGACTGAGAAGTCATAACTTGCCAAAGGTTTTCTGATTTGAAGTCCTTTTAGGAGCTCTGGTGGTACAGTGTGTAAGGCATTTGACTGCTAATCAAAAGGTTGGCAGTTCAAACCCACTAGCCGCTTCACGGGAGGAAGATGAGGCAATCTACTTCCATAAAGATTTATAGCTTTGGAAAACCAATAGGGGTCACCATGAGTTGGAATTGACTCAGTGGCAGTGGGTTTGGATTTTGCCTTCTGTGTATGATAGTGTAGTTCTAAGTGTGTGTGCAGTACTGTGCCAATGTCCCCTCATGCTTTCTCAAAACAGAGTTCTCAGTGTTACCAATTTTATACGCTGGGGTTCTTCGTAGATTTTATTTTAAAAAGCACTGTGCCACACTGATCTACTACTCCCATTATCACTTCCCCCTTCATTAAGGAGCAGGAAGTCCTTATACTCTCTTTGTGACCCACAAGGAAGTTGATTTGGGATTTTCTTATCCTCCAGAACAGCTGGATGGTTAACAGATATTTTTGAGCCTGGTTTATTTCCCACACATAATGTTGCATGTTACTCTGCTTTCGCCTTCTAATCACAATTTCCCTTCCTTAGTTGAGCTTGATACAATATGATTTTTATGGGAACTTAGCGATTTTATGATTTTATGGACAGGGATCAGACAGGATCCTCACCTAGAGTTAGAAATATAGCTCCTTAGCCAATTTAAGTCCTTTGAGCCCAGGAGCTTCCTATCATTGTTTAAATCATAAAACCATTCTGTATGCATAGACTTGCTGCTACCTTGATTAGAAACTCCTTGTTGACTAAATTTTCCAGCAGTTCAAGATTTGCATTTGATTGGTGTTATCCTTACTCTCCAGGTTATACTGGGAAGGAAGGTGAGCTGCAGTTCGCCCTGAAGGTGCAGATTTGGCCTCTCAAACTAATTTTTTTTTTCCCTCAAATATGGACTACGTGTACATGTAATTTAGAAGCTAAGAGGTGGAGCCTACTTTAAATAATTCTCAAGAAATTCTCTCTTGGTTGAGTATGGTAACTTGTGCCTGCCTTCACCTTGCTAGTAAGAAGCTCAGATGGTATATTTATTCATTTGCACCATTTTCCATTCCTAGTAAGAATGTGCCTTGTGGCTTGCAATGACAATATGGAGGTAGTGTCAAGTTGCTGTTATGTTTCTTTGGCAGCAAATTCTCCCTGCATCCCAGGGTTGAAAGTAAGGAACTCTTTCCTTTTATCTTTTATA